GAAAGTTGATATAGAGGTAAACTGCTTTAAATCCTGTCTCACAGCCATGAGACAAATCCTTTCATAAACTCTTGGTGGTTTTTATTCTCCCTCCCAAAGAGACAAAGCCATTACATTGTAGGGACTGGGTCAACATCACTAATAGAACATTACTTCTGTGTTCTATTATTTTAAGTTTCTATTTATTTAAGTTTATTTTGGAAACGCTACTTCTCGTGTAGAGAAAAATCAGACTTGAGGATTTTGATAACATGTAGCAGGAGGGATTACTGACATTGAAAGGTAGGTCATCACCTTGGTTCTTAGGTATCTAGGCCTGGTTGATCCAAACTTGGCTCCTCGAATCCCAGGGACCACATGGACCCTTCCTATTCCAGCTTATTTTCTTCTTCCCCCAAGATGCCCTACAAAGATACGACTGGCCTAAGTGAAGTTGGATATTAGCTGCAGCCACTTTTACATGAATTATTTACCACTTATAAACTAATTACCTGACTAAAAATTATATAGAGCAATATATATTAACATATATATTATATATATATTACTATCAATGTATATTTAACTTTATGGTTTTATTTTACTATAAATCTAAATTTGTTTCATTTCAACTTAGTTTACATGGTGTTTGCTACTCATGGTTGTCTTATGATGAAGTAAAAGGAAAACCCATAATTAGGTTAAAACATGAATATTGTACTCTGTAATATAAAATGTAAAGTAACCTCTGATTTCTTGAAAAGAACCAAAGCAGACATTAATCTACCTAAGTCAATAAAAAAGAATGGATGATTCTCATGTCACAAATTGAAAGGGACGGATCATAAATAGGCATAGCAAATAGTGACTTTAACTATAATCCAGGGCAGACAAGAAGAATACATTGCTTTAAGAGTTTCTCATTAGGCACTGGTAAAATGCTTCTCAAAACTGCATGCTATGGACAAGAAAGAAAAGAGATTCAAAAAGAAAAAATATGGGCTCACTCAAAGACAACAGAACCCCAAAATTAATACACAAATATTTACAAAATGTATATAACCTGTGTTGAAGTAAACAACAGATACAGAGGTTAAATTTTAACCTCTCTTTTAACCATTCTCTTAGGATGTTATTCCTTATTCTGGGGCAACCTGAAAATAAGCCAAATGGCAACTGAGTTTTCCAAAGGTTTGACCAGGACGGTAATGGAGGTATGTACCAGTACAGTGAGAACAGAGGTATGGTGGTGAGATCAAAGGGGATAGGGTTTCAAAAAAAAAAAGAACCTTATGAAAGAAATCCCGATAGTAAATGAATTCAAGCAAACGCATGAGTTCGTGGATACCAGTCTGCAGTATCGCAGAGGGGAAGAAAGTTAAGAGTACATGCCTTTGAAGGTTACCTATAACTCAATCATATTCAAAATTTCAGTTCTAACCTTCTGATTATTGACAACATGGCAAAGTCTCTTAGTACAATGGTGTTTTAAGCTGAATAACATCTATGTTTTCTAAAAGCACGTGTTACAGTGCTGCTGCAAGTCGTAATTGCAGAGCTCAAACACACTCTCACATAAGGAATAGGCACACTCGCTGATCTATTCAGCATACCTGGAGGGACTGACACCTAGTTGCATTGCATCTAATATTTTCACTGATGACCCCAGGCTCTAAATGACAAAATGAGAAGCCTCCATAATAAACTGTTTCTCTACATCAATACAAGGTCTGGTTATTCTGTTTTGTGTTTGAATCCACAGCCAGTTATACCTGTGAGTCTCATGAAGGGGACTATTTCAAGAGAGTAGGATGCCCTTGTAAGTTAGCACTCAATTGCTTCTATATATGTGTTTCTGAAAGAATGTAATATTTAAAAGAAAAAAAAGTGAATCCACGGTAATGCTGAGTAGTACATGGTGTTAATTATCCTTAATCAAAAATTTACATTTTGTGTAGGCGGAACTGTGTTCTAAGCACTATTCAAAACACTGTCCTCTAATAAAAAGACAATTTTTCAATATTGCTTAATTTGGAAGATGAGGGTAAGGACAGAATAGGGTCGTTTTAAAAGATTTATTTTTTTATTTTTTTAGGATTTTATTTATTTATTTGAGAGAGAGAGTGAGAGAGAGAAAGAGCACAAGAGGGGGGAGTGGGAGAGGGAGAAGCAGACTCCCTGCTGAGCAGGGAGCCCGATGCGGGACTCAATCCCGGGACTCCAGGATCATGACCTGAGCCGAAGGCAGTCGCTTAACCAACTGAGCCACCCAGGCGCCCAAAAGATTTATTTTTTAAGGGACCCTCTCTGAATTAATTCCCTACCTCCCCCCAATTAAAAGAGATATAAAATTCCTTTAAAAACATTTTTTAAAATGTATTTATTTGAAAGAGGGCGGGAGAGAGAAAGCACGAGATGGGGGAGGGGTAGAGGGAGAGGGAGAAGCAGGCTCCCCACTGAGCAGGGAGCCCAACTCGGGGTTCAAGGGATCATGACCTGAGCAGAAGACAGACACTTAACCAACTGAGCCACCCAGATGCCCCTAAAAACATTCTTAATAGAATAAAAGACACTAAAGTTTTCCAACAGAGAAAACTCTTTAAAGGAAAAATGGGAAAATATGATTAAAAGGAACCAGAGAAAATCTACATTTGCTATACTATCAAAAGGGAAACTTCTTAATTTTTACTTTGGGCTTAAAATTAAATTCTTATCAGAATTGGTCATTGATTTTACAATCCAATTTTCTGTTTTATACAAACTGTTTTTACTAAATTTTCTTTGTATTAGCTTTGATAATAAAGAATAAGGGGTGCCTGGGTGGCTCAGTCAGTTAGGCATCTGATTCTTGATTTCAGCTCAGGTCACGATCCCAGGGTTGTCAGACTGAGCCCTGTGTTGGGCTCCGTGCTGGGCATTCAGCCTGCTTAAGATTCTCCCTCTCCCTGTGTCCTCTGCCTCCCTCTCTCCCTTTCTAAAAAATAAAAATAATTTTTTAAAAAGGTAATAAAGAATAAAAACCTGTAAGCTCGTTCTCTTTAAAAAAGATTTAAAAAGAAATAAAAGCTTACCCTAGAAGATACGCTAATTCCTTTTAAGGTATTTTTAAAGGACAAAAGCTAATAAAATCTTTTACAACTTTATTGAGATTTAATTGAAACACAATAAAATGTATTCATTTTCAAGTGTACGGCTGGGTAATTTTTGGCATATCGGATACACCATCACCATAATCCAGACGAAGACAGTCATCATTCCCAGGTTTCTCTTCTGCCTCTTTGTAATCCCTCCTCCTACCTCTCCCTGTTCCCAGGAAACCACTGGTCTGCTTTGCCATTATAGATTAGTTTCCATTTCCCAGAACTTTATACAAATGGAATCATATAGTAAATATCCATTTTTTTTTTTACTTTTGAAACCTGACAGTAATTCTCGTAAGATTTATCTGTGTTGTTGCATGTATCACCAGTTCATTCCTTTTATTGCTGAATAGAAATCCATCGTAGAATATTCCACAATTTGTTGATCCATTCACCTGCTGGTGGATGTTTGAGTTAAGCCTGTTTGGCTATTATAACTAACACTACCACAAACATCTGTGTTTCAGTCTTTGTATTCACATTATGTTTTAATTTTTCTTACTAAATATGTAAAAATGGAATGGCTGGGCCATATGGTAGGAGTATACTTAACTTTTTAAGAAAGTGCCAGATTATTTTCCAAAGTTGTTATACTACTTTACATACCCATCACAAGGATATAAGAGTGGTGGCTGTTCTAACATGTATCTCATTGTGGTCTTTTAAGGTTTTTGGGTTTTTTTTTTTTTTTAAGATTTTATTTATTTATTTGACAGAGAAAGAGAGAGTACAAGCAGGCGGAGCAGCAGAGAGAGGGAGAAGCAGGATCCCGCTGAGCAGAAACCCCGACGGTGGAGCTCAATCCCCAGGACCCTGGGATCACAACCTGAGCCGAAGGTAAACGCCTACGCCTACCCGACTGAGCCACCCAGGTGCCCTCTCACTGTGGTCTTACTTTGCATTTCTTTAATGGTTATTTGCCATATATACACATTGTCTGGAGTATCTGTTTAAATCATTTTCCCATTTAAAAAACCAGGTTATTTCCTTATTTTTTTGGAGTTCTTTTCATAATCTGGATACAAATGCTTTATTCCTAATTTGGATGAAGTAAAATTTATCCATTTCTTTCTTTCAGAGATAGTGCTTTTGGTGTTATATCTAAGAAATCTTTGCCTAACCCAAGGTCACAAAGATATTCTCCAATATTTTCTTCTAAAAGCTGTATAATTTGAAGTTTTACATTTAGGTATATTTTTAGCTAATTTTTATATATGGTTCTAGACATGGATTATAGTTATTTTGTGTTTATGTGTATGTAAATGGTAGGGACATACAGATATCCAATTGTTCCAGAATCCTTTGTTAAAAACCCCTGAACTAAATTGCCTTTGCACTTTGATTGAAGAACATAGATCACGAGAACTGTTTCTGGCTGCTATTCTGTTACAGTGATCTTCCTTGGCTATCTTTACGCCAATACCATCCTTGATTACTGCATGCAGCTTTCTATAAAGTTTTGAAAACAAGAAGTCTACCTTCTTACTGCTCTTTTTCAAGGTTGTTGTGGCTAATCTAGGTTGTCTGTATTTCCATATAAATTTTAGAAACAGTTTGTCAACTGTTACAATAAGTCCACTGGGATTTGGCTGGTAGTATGTTGAATCCATAGATGAATTTGCGAAGAAGTGACATCTTAAATTGATTCTTCTTTCTCAAGAACATTTATTTTGGACTTCAAGCTCTCTCAACAACATTTTAAGGTTTTCAAGTGTATAGTTTTTGTACACCTTGTGTCAGATTTCCCCCTAAACATTACATATTTTTGATGCTATTAAATATAGCATTTTTTATTAAATTTCAATTTCCCATTGTTCATATAAAAAATACAATTTATGTTTATATGTTGGTCATGTTTCCTACGACCTTGATAAAACTCACCTATTAGTTTTAGCAGCTTTTTTTAATAGATTCCATAGGATTTTCCATATAGCTGATCATGATGTCTGCAAATAAAGACAGTTTTACTTCTTTCTTGCCAATCTGGATACCTTTCTTTTGTTTCCTGGACTTACTGTACTAACTAGAACCTCAAGTACAATGTTAAATGGAAATGGTAAAAACAGACAATCCTGCATTGTTCCTGATCTTGAGGGAAAACATTCAGTCTTTCACAATTAAGTATCGTGTTAAATATAGTTTTTTCATAGGTATACCTTTTCAGAATAAGGAAATACTTCTATTCCTAGTTTGATGAGAATTTTGATCAAGAATGAATATCAAAAGCTTTTCCAAACCTCTTGAGATGACCACATGATTTTCCCTTTTGTTCTGTTAATATACTGAATTACACTGATTTCCATTTGTAAGATAAAGCCATATTGTTATTTTCATTGTGAAAATTTAAGACTTTTTGCATCTGTGTTCGTAAGGGATATTGGTTTATAGTTTTATTTTCTTAAAATGTCTCTGCCCTGCTTTTAACAAGGCAATGCTGTCCTCAACAAAATGAAATGGAAAGAATATCCTGCTCTCCAACTTTCTGGAACAGTATATAAAGAACTGGCATGATTTATTTCTCAAATGTCTGGCAGAATTCAAAAGTGAAATCATCTGAGCCTGTAGGTTTCTTTGTGGGAAGGTTTATAATTACAAATTTGATTTCTTTAGATAATAGGGCTATTTAGGTTATCTGTTTCTTCTTGAGTAAGCTTCAGTAGTTTACTAGTTTCAAGGAATTTGTGCATTTCTTCAAAAGTTGTTGAATTTATTGGCAGAAACTTATTTGTAATATTTGTTATCTCCTTTCCAGTTTTTTATGTCTAAAAAGGTCTTTATTTTGTCTTGCCTGGGGATAAAATTCTAGGTTGCTGGTTGCTGCATTTTTTCCCCCTTTGAGTACTTTAAACTCTTGCTTCACTGTCTTCTCCCTAGCAAGGGAGACATTCCTTTATGTATTTTTTTTTCCTCTGTTGCTTTTAACATTTTCTTTATCACTAACTTTAAGCAATTTGATTACTATATGCTCCAGTGCAGTTTTTGCACTTGGGTTTACTGAATTCTCAGAACTATGGTTTTAACAGTTTTCACCAAATTAAGGAAAGCTTCAGTTGTTACTTCTTCATCTCTTCTTTTAGTCAAACGATGACTCCAATTACTTGGATGTTAGCCACTTGAACATAAACCACAGCTCACTTATGATCATGTTTTTTTACCCCCAGACCTTTCCTCTATGTTCATTTTGGCTAGTTTCTACTGCTATGTCTTCATTAGTCTTTCTTTCAGCAACATGTACCTGTAATTAATTCCATCAAGTGTATTTCATCTTAAATATTATAATTTTCATCTCTAGAAATTTGATTTAGATACCTTTTTAATCTTCCATGTCCTCTATTTAACTTGTTCAATCTTCCCTCTAGCTCAGGAATCACAATACAGTTTATAAACCAAATCTGATGCACCCCTCTTTGTGACAAAAATTGTACTCCAGTGTACAGACACGTCCATTGGTTTACATGTGGTCTATGGCTGCTTTTTTACAAGAGTTGAGTAGTTACAGCAGAGGCTACATGGAGCTCAAAAACTAAAATATTTAGCATCTGACCCTTTAACAAAAAAATAGGTGAACTCCTGATGTTAGCATACTGAACATACAGAAGACAAATATAATAATTGTTATAATGTCATTGATTCCATCATGTATGTCATTTCTGGGTTGGTTTAGAGTTGGTTTAGATCCTCATATGGATCATATTTTCCTGCTTCTTTGTATGACTGGTGTATTTTGATTAGATGTTAAGACTCAGTAAATCTTACTTTTGAGTATTTGATATTTTTCTATTCCTGCAAATTTTCTTGAGCTTTGTTCTGGTATACATTTAAGTTACTTGGAAAGACTCTGATCCTTTCAATCTTATTTTTAAATTTTGTTAGGTAAAACCAGAGCAGCATTAGTGTTGGCCAAATTTTGCACCACTACTAACGGAAAACCCTTCTGTGTAGTAGTACTCTAGTAGATGCATCGTGAAGTATAATATTTTTCCACTTTAGCTACTGGGAACAGGCAGTTTGTAGTATGAGCTTCGGGAAATTTTTTCTCTAATTCAACTTGGTTTTTAATCCCCAGCCTTGGGTAATTTCCCAACACATGTGTGCTGATCAATACTCAGCTGAAGATGAGAGAGGACCTTCTGCAGATCTCTGGATCTCTTTCCTCTCCAGCTCTCTGACCTGGGAACTCTAGCCACCTTGAACCCCTAGATACCTAGCTCCATCTCTTCAGCTCAAGGTGCTTACCACGCTCCACCTGCTCACCTCACTTGTTTCCTGTCTCTCAAGGATCACTGTCCTTTCTTGCCTGCCATCCAGTATCTTGAAAACTGTTATTTTATATATTTTGTCCAGGTTTATAGCAGTTTCAGTTTGGAGAGTAATTCCAGTTCCTGTTACTCCATCTTGGCCAAAAGCAGAAGACTTAAAAGCTTACTAAAATTTTCCAAGCAGGGAAAATTGCTTAAAGGGTAAATGGAAAATCATGATAAAGTAAACAGGACCTAATTATATTACTGTATATATTTAAGGAAAGGAAAGGAAAGGACAATTTTCTTATGATATTTATTATCATCACACTGATTGCTATTTTTATAGAGGTATCCATTAAAAGCAAGTGATTTATTCATCAAAATATATTTTATGGTTAGGAGTCATTCCATAACCAATATATTACTACTGGTAATAAAACAAAAAAACCTATTAAATTGTAACTTTCAAAATGTCTACACATGTGCTTAGAATTTCTTCAAGATATTTACAAACATGTAATTATATTTAATGTCTCTAGAAATTTTTTTAAATTTAAGTAATTTCAGACTTACAGGAAAGTGGCAAAAGTAGTACAAAGAATTCCTAGTCCCCTTTCCTCCAGACTCCCTAAATATCAGTATTTTACCATATTTATGTTTTTAAACGAATGCATTAAGAGCTCATTGTAGACATTAAAGCCCTTATACCCAAAATACTTCAGTGTTAATTTCCTAAAAACAAAGACATGCTCTTAAACAAGCATAATGCAATTATCACTGATACAAATACTTGTATATACAGATTTTATTCAAATGTGCCAACAGTCCCACAAACATCCTTTATGTCCTTTATTTGGGGGGTGGAAGGCAGTGTTGAAAAACTAATGTTCCTGGACCAAATCAGGATAGCCACCAGTTTTTGTAAATTAAGTTGAGCTGGAATACAGACATACCATTCACTTATGTATTGATATCTATGGCTGATTTGGGGATATAAAAACTGAGATGAGAAGTCACAATAGCCTCAGTATGGACCAAAAAGTCTAACATGTTTATTATCTGGCCAATTATAGAAAACATTTGCTAACTCCAGCTTTAAAACAAAAGAAAAATTCTTCCTGACCCAGGATTTAGTTGAATTTAGGGGTCATGTCTTTTTGGTCTTCATTAATCTGCTATTCCTCAGTCTTTCTTTTTCATGATCCTGATAAGTTTGAAGATCAAATGCTGTTTATTTTATAGAATGTCTCTCATTTGTGTCTGTTTGGTGTGTTTTCTTATGCTTAGATTTAGCTTATGCATTTTTGGCTGGATCATCACAAAAATGACATTGTGTCATCCTCCTCAGGATGCACATGATGTTTATTTGTCCATTACTAGTGATGTTAACTTAGATCACTTCATTAAGGTATTGTCTGCCAAGTTTTTTCACTGTCATGTTACTATTGTTCACTTTATAATTAATACATACTTTGTGAGGATATGCTTAGAGACAAAGTAAATATCTGTTTCTCATCAGACTTTAAATCAATAGTTTAAGCATTCACTGATGATTTTTGCCTGAAACAATTATCATTGTAGTGGTTGCCAAAGTGTAATTTCCTAGTTCCATCATTCCTTCTATGTTTATTAGGTGGAATTCTGCTTTAAGAAAAAGAATTCCTCTCCCTCTACTATAGGATCATTTCTTTAACTCAGTGTAGACTTTTAAACTGTATTTTATTCTATTGGTTCTTATCTATTACTATCATTATTTATTTTGAGGATTCAAGTGTCCATGATTTGGCTAAAAGGGAACCTCTTCAAACTGGTTCCCTTTCTGTGTCCTTCTGGCATGTCCCCATCATTCTTTGTGTGCAACACCTTTTTAATAATAACAATAACGTGGAAATAACCCCAATGGTCATCAATGTGAAATATTAAAGGAGTAGTGTGAAGGCAATGAAAAACAATGGAGACATGAAAGAGAACAAAGTAGAAGACGTACAGTAAGTGGAGTTAAAAGGCCCAGAACAATGGTAGAGTATGATGCCAGACGATAAAAAAAAAAAAAAAAAAGACAAACATATGCTTATATACGCATGTAATTTTCTTGAAAGATACTAAGAATACAGGATTAACATTAACTCTAGGATGTAACTGTGCAACTAGGTGTCCTACCTTTTATTTTACAACTGCTGATTGCTGAAAAATTTAAAAATCATTTTCAAGACTAATACTTTCAATTAACATTTGTAATTAAAATGTGTATTGTAAATTAGAACACAATGTAATATTTATAGTTTCCTTAATAGTGAGTAAAATCTTATATTTTCTTTAAAATTCTTTTCTAAAGCATTTATTAAATATCCTCAGGTGCTACCCTAAATGCAGCTAGATTGGCTAGATGTAGGAAGCTATCTTTACATTGTCACCCTATTTATATTAACTATATAATACTCAAGATTCTTGAAAGGTTTTACACCTTCCGCATTGAACTATATCCTATTATCCTCTTTTTGGTGAGGTGGGGGAGGGAGGATGTGGGGGAAGGATGGGAATAAGCTTATGATCTAGATACCAGTATTTGAATAACTTCTTTTCAAGAGCACCTAATACAGTTTTTAAGATGACAGGATCTGATATTTCCATGAAAGGTTTGTGTGAAAGACTAAAATGCTTACCTAGTGAGTCGTTTAGGTGGAGGCCGCTCACCAAATTTTCTGGAAAAAATAAGAAAAAAAATAAATATATAGGCTGTACGACACATTCCGTAGTAAGCTTTTTAGGCACCATGAAATCTCCTTTATGACTTATATTTCAACTCTACTAAAGAACAGCATAAAGGAAAATCCTCTAATAACCATCCATGCCCAGAAATAACAAAATAAGTACTTTAAAAATGGTTCCTAAACAAAAAACGCACCCTAAATAGGCCTTACACACCCACTCTGAGCATGTAGCACAATGATTAGACGAGGGTGACAGGTACCTCCTACAGACACCTTGCAAAAAGCAAACAAACAAAACCCAACAATGACAACAACTAATCAAAGACCCCCAGTCTCACACAACCTGCAACACTCAGAAAAATCCTCAAAGCCCAAGAGGTGGCATAGAGCTTAGTTTGTCATGTGCCAGGAACTTTGCTGTACATTCTTTATACCTTACCATCTTTAATCATTACAAAACAATTCTGTGAAGTACATAAGGGCTCATTTTAAAAAGGTAGAAAGCAACTTGCCCACAAAGTAAATTAAGTGGTAGGCAGAGTTAAAATTTAAACCTAGATGTTGACAAATATTATCAAAGTTTGTATGGAACCACTGAAGAACCAGACAGCTAAAGTAACCTTGAAAAAGAAGAACAAAGCTGGAGGTATCACAATTCCAGGTTTCAAGGTATATTACAAAGCTGTAGTAATCAAAAACAGTTAGGCATTAGCACAAAAACATGATCACAGATCAATGGAACAGAACAGAAAACCCAGAAATAAACCCATGTTTATATGGTCAATTAGTTTATGACAAAGGAAGCAAGAATATACTATGGAGAAAACAGGCTCTTCAATAAATAGTGTCGGGAACACTGGACTACTACATGCAAAAGAATGAAACTGGACTATTTTTTAATATTATAGACAAAAATAAACTCAAAATGGATTAAAGACCTAAATGGGAGACCTGAAACCATAAAAAATCCTAGAAGAGAACACGGGTAGTAACATCTCTTCATTGGCAAAAACAACATTTTTCTAGGTAGGCCTCCCGAGAAAGGGGAAGCAAAAGCAAAAATGAACTATTGTGACCACATCAAAACAAAATGCTAGTGCACAGCAAAGGAAACCATCAACAAAACAAAAAAGGCAACATAATGAATTAAAAATTAAAAATAGAGGGGTGCCCGGGTGGCTCAGATGGTTGAGCGTCTGCCTTCGGCTCAGGTCATGATCCCAGGGTCCTGGGATCGAGCCCCGCATCAGCTCCCTGCTCGGTGGGGAGCCTGCTTCTCCCTCTCCTACTGCCATTCCCTCCA